TTTTGGTGACAATATAGGAATAACGACTATTTTGAAGAAAAAAAAATATATCTCAAAAAAAAATTAAAAAAAAAAACTAAACAGCATAAAAAAAAAGAATTTCAGTAGTTCTATTCTTAAAAAATATCTTCAATGCTAAAAATCTAAGTCCATATGCTTTAAAACAGATCTTAGTTTCAGTTAAAAATAGAATTAGGAACAAGTTAGTAAAACTAGGATTAAAAGCAACCTTACTAACAAATGAAATCTCATTAAAAACTACTTATGAGCAGACTAAAATCAGAAGAGGCCTTAACAGAATATTCAATTCTGAACCCTCTCAAAGTTACTCATGATCAGACTAGAGTCAGAAGCATCCTGAACCAACAAACAAATTTTGTTACATTTAAATGGTGGTCAGCATCAGACTAAAATCAGAAGGATCTTTATAGGAGTACTAAATTATTATCTCATTAAAAATTGCTCTTAAACAGATCAATCATCATATACAAATGGAAAAGTACGTTAGATTACTCTTCCATCAGAAGCACTCTCAAGAGACGTATAAATCTTAAGTCTTTTTAAAGTTGCTCAAAATCAGACTAGAATCAGAAGCATCTCCGATATACAATCAAATTGTAATCTTATTAAAAACTACTGAATAACATATCGATCATCATTTTTCGAGAGCAGCAGCGCAGAAATGAGAAACCACGGTAGGCTGCGAAACTAATATGAATAAGTGACAATTTATCGAGAATATATATCCTACTGTCTAGAGCTCAAATCAAATTGACATAATTCGTGGACAAACAAAAGCTTATCTATTGTAAATTGTAGCACATACATAGACTTAATTAATACTGTTCATAAAATATGATCCATTTTTATGATTCAAAAACTAGAAGGCAAAAAATATAATATTGAATTCTGGGCTGCTCATTACTCTATTAGTGTTTTCTAAAGTAGATGATATCCTACATAAATATATAAAAACTAAAAATACGATCCATTGTATTTTCATTATTTATTTTCCATTGATCTATTGTAGAATGTCAAAAATTTAATATTTGATTTTAGATTTATCATTTTTGTATAATTGTTTCTAAAGTAGATGCTTTTGAGTATAAAAATATCATTAACATTATCTATATTTTGTAAAATTTGAAAGTTAAAAAATGTTTGGTGTTCAATAATACCCTGAAAGTACATTTAGAAAAAGTTACATATAGTAGTCAAGCATAACAAACTATACTTATTCCCACTATCCACTATACTTATTGCTTAATTTCAAACCCGAAGTAATAACTAAGATATTAGCATAGATATGCACCTAATTCTATATGTGGCAATGGACTTCTTTCTCAGTTTTTTAGAGTTATTAGGACCACAATTTGGAACTTTGGCTGTATTGAGCGGTACTATATAATAAATACTCTCTGATTGTTTAGAATATAGCATTTAATCATATATTCTTCATAACACATAAAAAATTTTAAGACTTCGTATTTAATCACATATTCTTTTTAAAATTTAACAAGTTCCTCTGGTAAAAGTATATCCGCCCCAGTTCAAAACTTCAAAACTTGGATACTTAAGTTTTTAATATGATCTCATTTATCAAAAATTTTTGATATTCAAATACATCACATCACATCATATTTAAATTACACAAGAAGAATAGTCAAATAGAGATGTCGGTGATTCATTGGTAGTTAACATATAACATCTTTTCATTAATCACTCTGTGGTGTTCCAACAAAATGGCAATTGGTTTACAATGTTAATACGTAGCAATTAAAAAAACACCCAAAGCATGGGAGAGAGAGATTACGGAACATCCATACAATAAGAATTCCGAGAAATATTGAACTTTTTGCAAGAAATAGCAATCATGTCATGTAGTCACACATGAGCCGATTTGATCAAAATTTTTTGTACGGCCGTACGTTTTAACATTTTGTTGTGCTTATTTACATACATGCATACATGCACGCACACGCATACATATTTGTAGAAATTTTTTAACAATTCTGGAGCAACATCTCGACTGCTGTTGTTTGTGATGTTGCCTCGTTGTGATGATGATTAGATGGTTTATTTTGTTTTGGATGCTGTTTGGGTTTGTTGCTCACATGTGTGTGTGTGTGTGTGTGCGTGCGTGTTTGTTTGTTTGTTTGTTTGTAAGTTTGGCGTTCTTTACGTAAAGCTTCTCGTATTTTTTTTGTTTTTTTTTCGTTATTGTATTATGCGACCACACTTTTGGATGATTTTTTGTTGTTGATTTTCTGTTTTTGGTTTTTTGTTTTTGTATTTTTTGTTCTTTGTTTTGTTTTTGTGTGTGCCTTTGTTTTACGATGCGTGCATTTCATTTCATTTGATTTCCTATGGCAGCAGCCACTGTTGTTGTGTTTTAATTTTTTTAAGCTGAAGCTGATGCTGATGTTGTGCGCCCATGTTTGTTCTTTTGACAAGCAGTCAACCCGTCGTCATTTCATTTATTCGCTTGCTCTCGCTCCCTCTCACACATTCAATTATTTTTGTGTTCTACCCTTCCTACCATTCCATTTCATTCACATTCAGATTCAGATTCACATTCACAGTCCCTTTCCCCTAACGTTTTCATTTCCCGTGAGTATGTTTGCATGTCTGTTCGTCTCGGCTGTTTGTCGAAGAACAACGTTACTGCTACGTACGGTACACATCCGCCGCGTCCTTGTCGCTTGTCCGTCCGCTTATCCGTCCGTCCGTCTAACTATGCATACGTCTGTCCAGCCATTTTGATTTATGTTCATTTCATTTCGGCGTTCAATACTCATATGCGATTCTGATACTGATTCGGGCTCTGGCTCTGCTTCTGGTTCTGGAATGTGCGGATATGGGTGTTTGAAATCTTTTGTGTTGTGTATTTCTCACATGTTCCATACCATACATCGGTATAACAGCGACTCAACATAGTACAATGAGCTGTGAGGAGCAAAGGCAAACGAATTGCCCATTAGTGAGTGTATGGGTGGTTCTAATTTTGCAATTCATGTAAATATGCCGATTCCGAGCAGTGCTGCTCAGTGCCGACATAGTATAGCGACATAGACAAGCAGGACATGCGAAGGACAAAAGTTTCAATTAAATTCTTTTTGTTTTTCTAATGGCAAGCCTGTTTTCTATTTGAAATTTCAATTCACCGGATCTGGTGAATTGTTTTTGATATTTGAGTCATTGCTTTCTCTTTTATAAAATCTTTTTTATTATTTATTTTCTTTTTTTGTTTTTATACATCATTCTTCGTTGCTATGATTTTTCGATTGGCACAGACATGTGAACCATCAAGAATACCTCATATAAAGATAGCAAGTTTGTATGTACCGCTGGCACACACACACACACACACACACACACACGTTGAAGAGATGATATAATGTTCTGTCACTCACAAAATCGGTGCAGTAGAATGTTTGTAAAATAGATTTTGTGGGGTTTTGAAATGCATTGAATACTGCTGGTTGAGTTTACGATCTGTGATATTAATGCATGTGCATGAGGGTGTTGACAGAGACAAGCGCAGGACTCCTTTGTGGCTCTAAAATTAATACGAGCAATTAAAGGAATTGCCTGCCTAATGGATGTTAAATGTTTCTGTTAAAGCAGATGCCAAATTTAATTTAATTAGCAATTTATATAGATTTTAAAGTGAGGGATGAAATGCTAAAATCATTTCTTAACGGAATATAAACAAAATTATTTCAAAATATTAAAATCTTGCCAAAAATTTCAAACAATCTGGAGAAAAGTAATATAAGCAAGTTTTGTTTGTATTTTAATACATTTCAGATAAAAGAAATATTTGCCAAATTTTTTAATAGGTAAAAATAACATAATTTTTAATATATAATTTATAATTTTTTATAATTTACAAAAAATTCACCTATATTTAAAATCAAATAAATTTTTATTTTGAATTATAATTATTACAATTAAATCAAAATATAATAACTGCATTCACTTCTTGATAATCCCCTTAATATATATTAATTATATTGATAATAAATAAATACCAAATTTTTATATTAATATATACATATATTAAATACACAAATATTAGTAATATATTTATTATGAACATATACGAAGTATTTAGAAAATAATATGTTATTATAAAAATAACAAGAACAGTACACTTGTAATGACAAAAACCATTGTTGATTTATAACAATAATAAGTTAATATAAAATACAGAGTAAGCCCATGCATTTCATTCAATCAGTACTCAACTGAATATACAATATATTCTAAACATTAACTGAATATTACAACAAATAAAGGAACACAATAAGTACACAAGGCTACATCGTTGTTGTTGCAAATTTATTTATTTTTTCCATGTACATAAGAGCTTAAGCACTTGTGCCTCAAAAATGGACAATTTATTCAGTTAAATTCAGAAAAACTCGCGTTATCCACAATCAAAATCTGTTAGAATTTTGTAGGAATTTAATGAGATTTTTTAAGTCACCGTGGAAACCAAAATTAAGACTAAGACAAGACAAGAAAATACTGAAATGCTTTGTATAGTGATATTTGCGAAATATATTCTGAACATGACAGTCTGAGATGATTTCTAATAATTTCACTATTCTTATGAATACTGAACTTATTTATACTAAAATATGATATTATGATTGAATCGGTCATAAGCTACGTAAGAAATACAATATAAGAAATAATTTAATGACTACTAATTATGGGTAATATGGCAATACTAA